CGGCTGAGGATATGGCGGTTCTTGCTAACCTCATCGTTGTGGCGGCGGACAGCTAGCCTGTATCCCTCATCCAGTTGAGTGGCAATATTCACTCTTCCCAAAGATGACAATCTCAAACAGCTATCCATGTGGGTCTTTGACAGCTCATGTTTCTTAATCTTTTCTGAAAGATGGTGCATGTCGGTTACACCAGTCGCTGTCCAAGCGGTGCTGTCTGCTGTGCCGCCTTCAGGGTGGAACAGTAAGCAGGGGTAGCAGAAAACTGCATTAGCTACATCGCAGCCTGCTAGCCAGGTTTTCCGTTCATACCAATTTTTGGAAAATCCTCGGGTGTAGGACTTCCCCCCTTTAGTAGAAACCTGTTGAATTATTAAATTTGGTCTGGGAGGTCCTAATTGTTTCGTTGCCAATTTATCTTCATTTGTTCGCCGACAAAAAGGAACTTCTTTCAAAGACACAATCGAGTTGGACTGAAGCCTAGCCATTTTGATAGTAGTGATTGTGAATTGATTGACGCTGCTACCTGCTTTTTTCTTAGTTACGTTCATGGATATGTGTTACGTATGACGAAAGCGCGTAAGTGCAAGCCCTCAGAAACCCATAGAGATTGTATTGAAAGCTCGGATATTTGAAAAAAATAGATTTTACATGGGAGTCTATGACAGACTTCTGGGCGATTTTCAACCTGACTGAAATCACCCCAAAAGGGGGGAGGGCCATTTGAAGCACGACTTTACCCTGATTGGACATTTAGTGGCACTGTGGCAGATCAGGCGTCTAGATTACAACACTGATAACTACTGTTGCCGTGATATAATTGATTAGAAAAAAAATCCCTTCCTTTTCCCGTTTGGCAGTGCGTCGCCCATATCGCCCTATTGAACACACCGTCCCTGTGTAGTGGTGTATATTGATGACATTCTAATATACTCCGCTACACGAGCCGAGCATGTGTCCCTGGTGCGTCGGGTGCTTGGTAGACTGTTGGAGCATGACCTGTATGCGAAGGCGGAGAAATGTCTGTTCTTCCAGGAGTCCATCTCCTTCCTGGAACATCGGTTGTCCACGTCAGGGGTGGAGATGGAGATTGACCGTGTTTCAGCTGTGCGTAATTGGCAGACTCCCACCACGGTGAATGAGGTGCAGCGGTTCTTGGGTTTTGCCAATTACTACCGGAGGTTTATCCGGGGCTTTGGACAGGTAGCAGCTCCCATCACCTCCCTGCTAAAGGGGGGCCCGGTGCGTCTGCAGTGGTCGGCTGAGGCGGACAGGGCATTTAGACATCTGAAGGACCTGTTCACCTCGGCTCCGGTGCTGGCACATCCGGATCCCTCTTTGGCGTTCCAAGTTGAGGTGGATGCGTCAGAGGCGGGGATCGGTGCTATACTGTCTCAGCGCTCGGGTACGCCACCAAAACTCCGCCCCTGTGCTTTCTATTCTAAGAAGGGGACAGGGAGCTGCTAGCGGTGGTTCAAGCCCTGAAGGTGTGGAGGCTTGAGGGGGCTAAACACCCTTTTCTCATTCTGACTGACCATCGTAACCTGGAGTACATCCGGGCAGCGAGGAGACTGAACAAGGTGGGCCATGTTTCTTACCCGATTTGTATTTAAGCTCACCTATAGACCAGGGTCACTGAACGCTAAGGCAGACGCCCTGTCCCGACGATATGACACAGAGGAGAGGTCCATTGAGACCACTCCCATACTTCCGGAGTCTTGTTTGGTGGCACCGGTGGTGTGGGAGGTCGATGCGGACATCGAGCGGGCGTTACGTGCCGACCCTACTCCCCCACAGTGTCCAGAGGGACGGAGGTACGTGCCGCTCGAGGTTCGTGATCGATTGATATATTGGGCTCACACGTCACCCTCCTCTGGTCATCCTGGTATTGGTCGGACAGTGCACTGCCTTAGTGGGAAGTACTGGTGGCCCACTTTAGCTAGGGACGTGAGGGTTTACGTTTCCTCCTGCTCGGTGTGTGCCCAGTGGAAGGCGCCTAGACACCTGCCCAGAGGGAAGTTACAACCCCTACCCGTTCCACAACGGCCGTGGTCTCACCTATCGGTGGATTTTGTCACGGACCTTCCCCCCTCCCAGGGGAACACTACGATCTTGGTCGTTGTGGAACGGTTTTCTAAGGCCTGCCGTCTCATTCCTATGCCAGGTCTCCCTACAGCCCTACAAACTGCTGACGCCCTCTTTACTCACATCTTCCAGCTCTACGGGGTGCCTGAGGATATAGTGTCTGATCGGGGTCCCCAGTTCACCTCTAGAGTCTGGAGGGCATTTATGGAACGTCTGGGGGTCTCGATTAGCCTTGCCTCAGGTTTTCACCCTGAGAGTAATGGGCAGGTGGAGAGAGTGAACCAGGATGTGGGTAGGTTTCTGAGGTCCTATTGCCAGGACCGGCAGGAGGAGTGGTCGAGGTATATCCCCTGGGCAGAGATAGCCCAAAACTAACTCCGCCACTCCTCCACTAATCTTATGCCTTTTCAGTGTGTGCTGGGTTATCAGCCGGTCCTGGCACCCTGGCATCAGAGCCAGATCGAAGCCCCTGCGGTAGATGAGTGGTTTCGGCACTCGGAGGAAACATGGAACGCTGCGCATGTCCATCTGCAGTGGGCTATCAGGCGGCAAAAGGCGAGCGCCGATCGCCACCGCAGTGAGGCTCCGGTGTATGCACCGGGAGATCGGGTCTGGCTCTCGACCCGAAACCTGCCCCTTCGCCTGCCCTGCCGGAAGCTGGGTCGGCGGTTTGTGGGGCCATTTAAAGTCCTGAGGAGATTGAACGAGGTATGTTATAGGTTACAACTGCCCATTAATTACCGCATTAACCCCTCGTTCCATGTGTCTCTCCTCAGGCCGGTGGTAGCTGGTCCACTCCAGGAGAATGAGGTACGAGAGGCTCCTCCGCCCCCACTAGACATCGAGGGGGCTCCGGCGTACTCGGTCCGTTCCATCTTGGATTCGAGGCGTCGGATGGGGGGTCTGCAGTATCTCGTGGAGTGGGAGGGGTACGGTCCGGAGGAACGGTGCTGGGTCCCTAGGAGGGACATCCTAGATCCCTCCCTGTTGAGGGATTTCCACCGGAGTCATCCGACTCGCCCTGCTCCGCGTCCTCCTGGCCGTCCCAGAGGCCGGGGTCGGCACACGGCTGGAGCCGCGCGTCGGGGGGGGGGGGGGGGGGGGGGGGGTACTGTCACGAATTCAGCCGAGGCTGCTCCTCCTCCTTGCTCGGGCAGGCTTCGGCGTTCGTCGTCCCCGGAGTACTAGCTACTGCCGATCGATGTTTGTGTTGTTTAATCTTTATTGTGTACACCTGTTTCCCATTATGTTGTATTGTATTCCCTATATTAACCCCTGTCTCTCATTGGTTATTGTGTGTGATTGTTCTTTGTCATTCCGGCAGTTGCTTTGGTGTACGGGTTATTGTGTTTTCCTCCCTGTTTGGAGGTTTGTTGTTTTTGTACTCTATTTACTGTGTTCAGTAAAAGTACGTTGCCAGCCGCTCTGTGTCCTGCGTTTGACTTCGCTGACCGCATACACGTCGCGTGACACAAAGTCCAACACAGTAGTCAACAAATAACCAAGCAGCTGAACAGTCAGTCATTTCTTATCCTCTGCTTTCACCTTTTGGTGCATTTATTCTTTGTTTAAAGTTACACCTTTGTTGTTATTATATTGCAAACTGGGTGGCAGTTTCAACACAATTTATTTAAATCCGACCCTTGAAGTCCTCTAGGAATTTATTGAGAAACACTGATTTCGATCATGTGATTCAACTACTGTTTTTCACTGTTATAAGATGCCTTTGGAAATAACTTTATTTTACACAAACATCATTTGTTTTGCTTTTCAGGAAGATGATAAAACGCACAATGAGCCCAGAAGACCTCCCTGCAGTTCAAGCAAGAGTCCAAGCCCCAGTGGACCAAGCACAAAGTGGGTCAAGTCCTGATGGAGAAACACCCAAGACCTCCAGAAAGAGAATCTATCCCAGTGTGAATGATCAGGCAAAGGAGGTCTACACCAAAATTCTTGCTTGCCTACGAGAGCCAGCACCCACAGCCACAGTCTGACCCATCTGCAGTTTTTGAGCTGCTACCAAGTGGATGCTACCAAGACTTCGATAGATGGCCAAAAGTGGACATCCAGCAATTGCTGCTAAAGTATATTTTTCAAGATTTAAGTAGTGAGTGAGAATTGAGAGAGCAAAGATATTGAAATGTTGAATTGTATGTTAATTTGTGATTATATGTATTTACTGTGCATTCATTAATACATTATTAAATCGATTAACCTACAGTTGTGACTCATTACTCTATACTTTTTATTTTTATGATGATGAATAAGTAAAAGCAATTACAATAATAATGCATGAGATGGAATTCAATAGATTTTAATCGATTTAGGCTACAAAAAGTTGACATTGTAGTTTCTGAAATAATTAGGGCTACAGCAAAGTGGTGTTAAAGTGTGACAATGATTATTGGAAAAGGTTCCACTGCCAGCTGACTACACCCTCCGGCGAGTTCAAGTAGTTCTTGTTCTCGTCTCTAACATTATTGGCTTTACTGGCGTAGTTATTGCTGTAACCTTCCCTGAAATCAAGCATGGACTCAGAGCGACACTGGCGAGGCACCACCACTCCACTCCCCACATCCTCCCTGTCCACCAATTATGGAGGTGAGTAAACCTGTAGTGTGCTCTTCTTCCACACTGCGCCTTGCTCTTGAAAGCCTTGCTGGAAAAAATAAGAAAACCATGATTATATTTTTACATTTGGTGTTGTCTTTATTAACAGTTATAGGAAAATAACCAAGGTTAGTGCTCATCTGTAATTGAAGATCCTGCTCTCGTCTACCAGCTAGGTTCTTAGGTAGGGCTTCAGAGTGTTGGCTTTCAGGGCGAATGCCTTATCGGCCATCACAACATATGGCACTGGCTTTGTTCTTAGTCAAGGGGATTGGGTCCGGCATGTCCAGGGTCCTATTCCTAAGGGCTCAGCAAAGGCTGGTCTTGTTCCAAACACCATCATCACTCACTCTGCCATTTGTCCCCACATCCACATAAACCAATTTCAGATCGGCATCGACAAGGGACATCAACAACACTATGGAATTTCTGCCCTTGTAGTTGTGGTAATAGGAGCCACTGTGTTTGGGGGCCTGGAGGATGACATGTTTTCCATTCAGAGCGCCTACACATCTTGGAAATTGCCATAACTCTTAATATCCCTGGGCTATTGCTTTTCGCCTTCAGTTAGTCTGTCTTCAAAACACTTAACAGCACCTTGCATGTCTCAATGACAATCTCTGAGATGGCATAGTGACTTATTCGGAACACGTAGGAGAGAGATGTGAATGTCTCTCCTGTTAACAGAAAGTGTATAGAATGTGTCTCTGCAGGGCTGATGGACTTTCTCATGACTGTGTCTTCCTTTTTTATTAGTAGGCCCGCCATTCCAAGTCCTTTGTGTCCTTGTCCATGAAAAGCCATGCCCTTTAAATATAAAGAAAATAAACAATTAATTTAAAATATCACAATCGTAATAAGACAGGTTGATAAATGCAGTGAAGTCAATCATGACAAGTCAGCGACAGTACCCAATTATGTTGTTCTACAGGGCGGTAGGTAGCCTAAGCGGTTAAGACCGTTGGGCCAGTAACTGAAAGGATGCTGGTTCGAATACCCGAGCCGACTAGGTGAAAAAACGTTCGATGTGCCCATGAACAAGGCACTTAACACTAATTGCTCCTGTTAGTCGCTCTAGATAAGAGCGTCTGCTAAAACGTACAAATTATATTTCGCCAGTAGATGGCACTATATGATACATTTCGATATTGTTGGCCACTAGGGATATTAACAGAATTACGATAGCTCTATTACATTACTTTCCAATGTAGTCTAGTGGCGAACTTTAGTACTGTTATTTGATATTCGCGAATTCCTCTAAAATACTGTTCCTCCGAGCTCATTCATGCCTATGCAATTCTGAAAACTGGTACCAAGACTGACAAGCACGACTACAACAATACTACATGGAATGACTCTACATTATTTTATACAGTGGGGTCCCAAATTATTGACACCCTTGATAAAGATGAAATGACTGTATAAATAAATAATTCAAATACTGAGCTATATTGTATGCTCCAAAAATTATGCTGCCACCACAATTCTTAAAAAAAGGTAAAAGGTTAGAGAAAAATCGAATCAAGTTAAGTTAAGAAAATATTTACTAAATAAACTAAAGTAAAAAAAGTAACACAATAAAATAACAATAACGAAGCTATATACAGGGGGTACCGGTACCGAGTCAATGTGCGGGGGTACAGGTTGGTCGAGGTAATAAGTACAGTCGTGGTCAAAAGTTTTGAGAACTTCACAAAGTGTTCTGAGATATTTTTGTCAGGTGTTACTATGGTATACTGAAGTATAATTACAAGCATTCCATAAGTGTCAAAGGCTTTTATTGACAATTACATTAAGTTTATGCAAAGAGTCAATATTTGCAGTGTTGACCCTTCTTTTTCAAGACCTCTGCAATCCGCCCTGGCATGCTGTCAATTAACTTCTGGGCCACATCCTGACTGATGGCAGCCCATTCTTGCATAGTCAATGCTTGGAGTTTGTCAGAATTTGTGGGTTTTTGTTTGTCCACCCGCCTCTTGAGGATTGGTCACAAGTTCTCAATGGGATTAAGGTCTGGGGAGTTTCCTGGCCATGGACCCAACATTTCGATGTTTTGTTCACTGAGCCACTTAGTTATCACTTTTGCCTTATGGCAAGGTGCTCCATCATGCTGGAAAAGGCATTGGTCTTCACCAAACTGTTCTTGGATGATTGGGAGAAGTTGCTCTCTGAGGATGTGTTGGTACCATTCTTTATTCATGGCTGTGTTCTTAGGCAAAATTGTGATGAGCCCATTCCCTTGGCTGAGAAGCAACCCCACACATGAATGGTCTCAGGATGCTTTACTGTTGGCATGACACAGGACTGATGGTAGTGCTCACCTTCTCTTCTCCGGGCAAGGTGTTTTCCGGATGCCCCAAAAAATCGGAAAGGGGATTCATCAGAGAAAATGACTTTACCACAGTCCTCAGCAGTCCAATCCCTGTACCTTTTGCAGAATATCAGTCTGTCCCTGATGTTTTTCCTGGAGAGAAGTGGCTTCTTTGCTGCCCTTCTTGACACCAGGCCATCCTCCAAAAGTCTTCGCCTCACTGTGCGTGCAGATGCACTCACACCTGCCTGCTGCCATTCCTGAGCAAGTTCTGCACTGGTGGTGCCCCAATCCCGCAGCTGAATCAACTTTAGGAGACGGTCCTGGCGCTTGCTGGACTTTCTTGGGTGCGCTGATGCCTTCTTCACAACAATTGAACATCTCTCCTTGAAGTTCTTGATGATCCGATAAATGGTTGATTTAGGTGCAATCTTACTAGCAGCAATATCCTTGCCTGTGAAGCCCTTTTTGTGCAATGCAATGATGATGGCACGTGTTTCCTTGCAGGTAACCATGGTTAACAGAGGAAGAACAATGATTTCAAGCACCACCCTCATTTTAAAGCTTCCAGTCTGTTATTCTAACTCAATCAGCATGACAGAGTGATCTCCAGCCTTGTCCTCGTCAACACTCTCACCTGTGTTAATGAGAGAATCACTGACATGAATACAGCTGGTCCTTTTGTGGCAGGGCTGAAATGCAGTAGAATTTTTTTGGGGGGATTAAGTTCATTTTCATGGCAAAGAGGGACTGCAATTAATTGCAATTCATCTGATCACTCTTCATGGCATTCTGGAGTATATGCAAATTGACATAATCAAAACTGAGGCAGCAAACTTTTTGAAAATCAGTATTTGTGTCATTCTCAAAACTTTTGACCATGACTGTACATGTAGGTAGGGGTAAAGTGACTATGCATAGATAATAAACAGCGAGTAGCAACAGTGTAAAGGGCTTGGGGGTAGAAGCTGTTAGGGAGCCTTTTGGACCTAGACTTGCCGCTCCGGTACCGCTTGCCGTGCGGTACCAGAGAGAACAGTCTATGACTTGGGTGGCTGGACTTTTTATGCCTTCCTCTGACACCACCTAGTATAGAGGTCCTGGATGGCAGGAATCTTGGCCCCAGTGATGTACTGGGCCGTACGCACTACCATCTGTAGCTCCTTACGGTTGGATGCCGAGCAGTTGCCATACCAGGCGGTGATGCAAACGGTCAGGATGCTCTCGATGGTGCAGCTGTAGAACTTTTTGAGGATCTGGGGACCCATGCCAAATCTTTTCAGTCTCTAGAGAGGGAATAGGTGTTGTCGTGCCCTTTTCACGACTGTCTTGGTGTGTTTGGACCATGATAGTTTGTTGGTGATGTGGACACCAAGGAACTTGAAGCTCTCGACCCACTCCTCTACAGCCCGATCAATGTGAATGGGGGCGTGTTCGGCCCTCCTTTTCCTGTAGTCCACGATCAGTTCCTTTGTCTTGCTCACGTTGAGGGAGAGGTTGTTGTCCTGGCACCACACTTCCAGGTCTCTGACCTCCTCCCTATAGGCTGTCTCATCATTGTTGGTGATCAGGCCTACCACCGTTGTGTTGTCAGCAAACTTAATGATGGTGTTGGCGTCGTGCTTGGCCATGCAGTCGTGGGTGAACAGGGAGTACAGGAGGGGACTAAGCACGCATCCCTGAGGGGCCCCCGTGTTGAGGATCAGCGTGGCAAATGTGTTGTTGCCTACCCTTACCACCTGGGTGTGGCCCGGCAGGAAGTCCAGGATCCTGTTGCAGAGGGAGGTGTTTAGTCCCAGGGTCCTTAGCTTAGTGATGAGCTTTGTGGGCACTATGGTGTTGAACGCTGAGCTGTAGTCAATGAACAGCATTTTCACATAGGTGTTCCTTTTGTCAAGGTGGGAAAGGGCAGTGTGGAGTGCAATTTATATTGTGTCATCTGTAGAGCGTCAGTCTTCTGAAAACCTAACCCTGGGATAGAGTTTTTATTTTATTTCGCAGGACAAAGACACACCAGAATGGCTTTCCAAGAGGTGTTTCTAGAGTTCCTGAAAGGCCCAGTCTCCGTTCTGACTTAAATATGCTTAAAAAATCACAGGAAATGTTTGAATTCCGCTGTCCTTCAATGATTGCCAACCAAATGTACCGAGCTAGATTAATTTTGACAAAAACAATGGATATAAATGTATGTAACGCCAAGAATTGTGGAAGGTCGGTAGAATCTTTTTCAAAATGATTCAAGGTGCTTCCACATAATTAACTCTGGGGTGTGAAGACATACGCAATCAATCCATCCTCATTTTGTATTTCTTAGTAATTAGGAAAATTGTGTAGATCAATAGGAAAGAAAATCAAATGTAATCCCTTTTTAGATTTAATTGTAAGGCTCAAAATGTGAAGACTGCAAGGGGTTTATAGACTTTCACTAGCGACTGCATATTGTCCAACAGTTTCCCTTTGACGGAACTTATGCCTCTCGGCAATAACATTCACTTTCGGTACGAAATGTTCTTTCAATTCAGCTACTGCCAATGCATTTTGTACCTGTATCCGGCAGTGTGTAGAATAGCCTCTGTGCTTCTGAAACAGGGATCAGTGTGCTGCTAAACAGCTTTGCTTCCTCCAATATCCGATTGCCCCATACTGGGCTTGAAACAGTGATCCTCTGCTTCGCAACACACATGACCACCCTCCTTGGCAACTTATCAACTGTTTGAGCCACCCAAAAGGTACTGATTGGATGGCTCCATCCACAACATTTCAAGCTTAGCTGTGGCGTGGGCTTATGGTACGTTTTTAACGTCATTACACTTCAGTTCCTAGGCAGTGCAGTAGTGTAGCTCGCTTTCGGGTACCAGGCCATGCTTCCCCTGTTGCATTTATCACCAGCAGATAATTCTCAAACATTTTGAACCATGTAGAAAACAGTAACGCTGGCTCTCTTGGGCAAGGGAGATGAGAAGAAAACCCAGCCATCTCGTCACCAGTTGTGTAGTATGTAGTATTAACTGAAGACTTTACTCAGTAGCAGAGGTCCAGGCGGAGAGGTAAATTTAACGTGTATTTACTGTAGCATCCATCTCATTATTCTCCCAGTATGCATCACGTCTTTATCAATACAGTCATTAACCTTGACTTTTCTCATTGCAACATCTATTGGTGAACAGGTAAGTGAACACAACAACAGGTACATAATCCCTATTAGGATTTAAATAGGCCCCAATTTACAGAATCCATATTAGGTCATTCCACCTTCGCAGACCCCCCCAAAGAATCTAGTCCAGCCACTAGTCAAGCCAGCGTCACCCCGTAGCAACTTGCATGCCCCACCCACCTCAGGATTCCAATCTTTCCAGCCATTACTTTCCTGTTTTTGAGGGGTGTAAATGAACTTTTCTCATTATTGTTGGTGGATCGATTTATTTCAAAAGAAAACCAATGCACATTCCAACTCTTG